GCCCTTTAATTGTTTGGTATCATATTTTGTAACGAGACATAGCTAAGCTGAAATCACCCAATTGTTATGAACGAATACAAGACACATGTACAAATTGCATTTCAGAAATGTGTGGATAATGAACTGACACTGAATATCTGAAAAACTGATAATATAGTTTATTATCCCCGTAATACCTGAGGTCGCCCCCGTTAAGGGTGTGGCCAAAATCATTCGCCATTGAAAAATTAACACTTCTCATTAACAAGAAAAAAGAATCAAGAATAAACTTGTATCTAGTGGGGGAAATTTGCCATAATATATCAAACAAATAACCAACTCGTTAAAGAAATCTAGTCTGTGAAGAGGGTGTTCGCACACTTGTATGAAAGAGTCCATGTATGCTGTCTGAAAAACGACGGGGTGTGCAGTTATTAGATAACAACCAACCACCAATCCCTATGGGCAAAGCCGGAGTGAGTTATATTGCGCCCCCATCGACAGATTTAAAAGATAATTCGTCAGCGAGCGTCACAACTCACGTCGACTATGTCAGGGTACGTTATTGTAAACTGACGTTTATTTTAATTTAATTAACGTTGGAAGCGATACAATGTGTGTAATTTGTGCCAAGACAAGAATCATACCCACTTTCTTACTCCTATCGCTATACTGGCCCACTGCAATAGTCTACTATAATACTTGTATACGACAAATTACAGTCCCAAATTACTGTGGACAAATTACCAAATTACAGTTTGTCAAAAATTATCAAGGTAGTCTCATTAATGAATATGGTTAATTCAACAAGTGATATTGTAGATACATTGCTGGCCATTAACATGTGTGACCCACGTGGTACATCACACTGAGGAACGCATTTGAAAGAATTTGCATTGTCTGTAGTTACTATTGTAGTTTATTATTGCATGTACATGTAATTGTTGAAATAACTGAATCTATTTTGGGGACAGCGCCCTCTAAGGTTAGAAGTGGGAAATAATTTTAATTTTGTCAAGTTACAATCACTCTACATTTATTAATTTAGAACAAAGTCATAGTAAATAGTTAACAACTATTTTGATTTTCTGTTATTATTACAAAATACTTTTTTCTAATTCTATTATTTGCAACACAGCAATTATAGATCCTGCTTCCTAATGAATCATGGACAGCCATATTCATAGCTAAGATAATGGCTGCCAGCAATTATGTAGAGTTGTATTATAGTATGAGCATTTTGGTGATAAAAAAATGCAGAAAAAGAAAAAAATTATTTAATATACCAAAGTTAATCGTTACGGGCATTTTCCCAGAAAGTTGTGATGAAATTATCTGTAGGGTGGCGCCCTCTATAGACAATTCTTTGAAAATGTGAATGTTTACTACATTTCCACAAATTGAGACTGTCACATATGTCGCACTAGAAGCCAGTAACGTGCTATAAATGCACCCAGAGTGCAACTCTTATAGTTACACGAAATTGCATGCATTTCCTTGTTTTTTTAAATATTTTTGTGACTGACATGTACATTTGAGAGTGCCGACATATATATATATGTATAGTGCATTTTGCCACAAAAACCATATTCCAGTTTCCAGATTACGCGACAGGGCTATGTGACCATCTTCCTATCATAATGGCATTATAGCAATTTAATACGATGTTAACCAGGACCAGGCGAACACAATCACCAGCAGACCTTAACCAATTATTGAATGCATGTACTTCCTAGATTGGTTGTCCTTAGCATGGCCCAAAGAAGAATTTGTCCTGGTAAATACTTAACCTCAGAGATGCACAGCTCAACACCAGCTACTGAATTAGATTTAAGTCAAGTAAGTCAATACATTATTTTGTCATTGCAAAGTTTTATATTCAGTTAATTTTACAAGCTGGAATGCTACAAACCTAATCAATTTTACCACCCTACACTTTACATGTAAAGCATTTTTTTTAACTCTGGACCTAATAGACAATTTTCCATTGAAAAATTATGGGAGAAAAATGATACAGGATTTATTTTGTGAAAAATGAGTTGACTTTGTCATAATTTATTACAGATTACCAGAAGCAAGACAGCATGTTATCACAAGATGAAAGAAATAAGAAACTGCAGTGTGTAGAAAACAATTTTAATTGCAAACCTCAATATTAAAGTACTGGCAATAACAATTTCTACATGCTAGAGTGAACATCTGTGTTGGAAACAATGTTAATAACAACCATTCTTCACAAATGCAAATGTGTGAAATTGTGAGTGGATTTAACACAAAATTGTTATGACAAGTATGAATTTTGCTTTCCCCGAAAGCTGTATCAGACAAAACATTGACAAGAGTTTTATATGCTCATAGAGTACATACATGGTGTAATGAGTAGGTCTGACTGAGAAGCTCAAGGACACAATAAAAGAGTTCCAGGTTTTCAGGTTGCGCAACATTGAATATGCAGTTTTAAACTGATATTTCCCTATACCAGCATGACTTTTGTTCTGATTATTTTGATTCAGTATTGTAGGTCTATTCTCTCTGTCATTAGTAAATGTAGTGAATTAGGAATATTTTTCTAAGTTAACTAAATATCTCATTACTATTGTTTTCTGATCTCAATTATTCTATTAACTCACAATCACAAAATGCAGAGAGTACCCAGTAGGTATTCACGTTACATTTGAATGTTTACAAAACGTTTCTAATATGTATATTCAATCGAATGATATTTTGGGAAGACAAAATTACAGTATGTATATTCATCTTACAAAAA